CAACTCGCTCATATAAGAGAATTCGTCTTCAGAACCCACAGAGATTCGTGCCTTTTTGGCACTTGGAGCAGCAGCAGCAGCAGGCGTGGATCGCTTGCGTGCTGCATCGCTCCAGCTGAGAGAGGTGGAAGCGGAGGCAGCAGGAACAGACCCGTGGTCCTCTTCCCAGTAGAAGAGGTCGTTGGGGTCAGCCTTGCTGCACGCATCAAGGGTTTTTACGGCCATCAGCAGTCAGATTTCAAGAGAACCTCGAGGCTTGAGGAGAGGGGTTGCAAAGGGCTGTGAGTAAACAACGATGTGATTCAACTGAAATGAAGTGGGTGTCAGACTGTGTTTTGTACTCATGGCTACGAAAGTAGTCCGTCCTGACAGGTTGCTGCTGAGCGGTTCGTTTACAAACGAGCCGCTCTAGTTGACGGCGGAAAAGGGGGTTCCGTTGGCGACGGAAATTCCAGGTATGGGAGTTCCAGGTACGGTACCGCTTTGGTGCCGCTTCGGCTAAGCGGACGGCCGGAGCGTTGAGGGTTGGCTAGCGGGTTCCGCGTTTGGGTCTTGGGGATTGGTCGCAGGCCTTCTTTTTTCTGCAGTGAGCTGCGGCAAGGTCGAGGGTGTGAGAAGGCTGTAGGCGAAACCAATCGAAGTGCAGATCTGTTACACAAATGGATACTGTGAGATTTTCTGTCGTAATTCACAATAATTGATTGGTATTCAACCAATATGTCAACCCTTCTTGAGATAATATTTGTTGCCAAAAAGTTGCAAATAAGAAAAACACAGCTCAAATAACATATGGTGCTGTTGCGCAGCACTTCTGATGCGGATGATGTTCACCACTACCTAGTATTGATGTTTGGTAAGCCCTGCAACACCCTTGCCCGGGACGCCGAAAAAAAATGTATAAATTCAACATGTGTATTCCTTCAGATTTCCTTCTGTGCACTTCGCAACACCAGGAACTAGGTTTCCACAACTGAGATTGAACTTGACAGTCTTGGATGTCCAGTGCAAGACAACAGGGCGAGCTCATCGAAAGCCCGTATAGAGCCAGCCAGCAGAGAGGAATGGGGGCTGGTAGGTTGAGTCAGCGATAGTCAAGACAGCCATGCGAGGTCAACAGCAGCCAACAGGAAGGACACCAGCATCAATGAAGGGTATTCATTATACAGCACTGAGTTGCACAACACCGTGTGCTGCCATCGCAACTTCCATGGTGTGTGGGTCAGGCGTTCCGTACAGCCGCATCAGAGGGATGACATGCCTGCGTCTGCCATGGTATGCATGTGGTGGTTGTGCAGAGTCTCTCAAATAAAGTAAGTACTTGCAAAAACGGTACTGGAAGCAGGCAGGGAAAATGATAGTGAAGATGATTGAACAAAGGACAACATGAACTCAAAAATTAACATTGAAGGATGACAGGAAATTGAAAGTGAAAACAAAGGGAAGTTGCACTGGAAAGTGGACTGGCAGGGAAAGTGGGCTGGCAGGGAAAGTGGGCTGGGGAAGTGGGAATGGGAAGTTGCATGGAATGGCGGCCCACACCAGCGCTTCCATCCATCCGGCACCACATGCCACTTGCCTGTTTCCCAAACCCCTTTTTCAATCCTCACAGCCTCCGGTGCAAAGAATTCGTCTCTCATTCTTCCACCCTCTTTCTCTTTGCCACTCCAACCCCAACTTGCAGGGTCTGTGACATGCCTCATGCTCCACCCACCGTGCCCCCACTGCTTCTCATACTCACACCACCCCATACTCACACCACTCCATACTAACACCACCCATTATCACATCCCCCGTACTCACACCCCCACATCCATACTCACACCTCCCTGCTCGCCCCTCCTCTCGTTAGGCCAGCCTGTATGCAGCCATCATGCTCCCAGCTTCCCACTCGTCCCTGCAGACTGCACTCACCTCCTCCACGGCTGCCACCATTGTCAGTTGGGGGGGCTGTCCTCAGCACACCTGGGACGAGCAGAGGAGAAAAGCAAGTGCACAGCAACGGTGGGTGAGCAGAGATGGCAGCATGAGTGATCCGGCTGGCCTGTGCTGTCTGCTTCGTCAGGAGTGCGTCCCGATGCACTCCCCCCCTTGTGTTTCGCCCATCCTCTCTTGCGCTCATTCCCCCTTGCCTTCCCACTTGCCTTCCCCCTTGCCTTCCCCCTTGCCTTCCCCCTTGCCTTCCCCCTTGCCTTCCCCCTTGCCTTCCCCCTTGCCTTTCCCCTTGCCTTCCCCCTTGCCTTTCCCCTTGCCTTCCCCCTCTCATTGTGGCATGTGTGCTTCGCAGGCATAGCAGGCAGGCATGGCAGGCAATGGAAAGCATGGGGGAGGCGAGATGGGTGGTGGGGTGATGGGCATGTGGATGGTCAAGCTTGTGCGGCCCATGCATGAGGGAGCAGAGGCAAGGAGGCGGCAATGGTAGAGGAAGAAACTGGCATGGGAGGACGGAAAAGGGCAACACAGATGTGTGAAGTTGACAGGTCAACTGGCAATGGGCGATTGATTGGCAATGTGGAAGTCGAAATCTGGCTGGGAAGCGACAACAAGGAATCACGATAAATGGCAATGGGGAAAGGTAACAGGAAAAGTGGTAGTGACTTGAAACTGACAATGGCAAGCTGATTGGACAGAGTAAAATGAGAAATCGATTGGTGAAATGACAATGGGACCTTGGCAGGCTGAGTGACAATGAGAATCTGACTAGCCAAGTGAAAATGGTGAGACAAATGGCAATATGGAAAGGCCCAGCAGACGACAGGTAACTGAACAATGTCAATGGGGAGATGATTGTGAAACGGTAATGGACAATGGTAAGAAGGACAATGGTATGAAAACACTTGACAGATGGTTATGGAAGTTGAGCAGACAAATGGAAGCGCAAACAATAGAAATTTTACATTAGGCAGTTAACGACAAGAAAGACGTCAACGGAATGTAGGCTGGAACCATAGGAATGAGAGTTTGATTTGATTGGAAATATTAAAATGGATTAGGAAAAGGAATGGATGCATGAGAATGGGATGATCAGAATGAGGATGGGATTGTGAGAATGTTATGAGGAGAATGAAAGAGTGAGGTGACAGTGGAAAAATGGCAATGCTGTATGGGGGAATGAAATGGGATGAGCAAACAGGCATATCATGCAGATTGGTGCAGATAGGCACGTGCAGGCAGCTGGCGTGATTTGACATGCCAGAATACTTGGCTGAGGAAACGATTGCGATGGGGAGACTGGTGGGGTGAGAAGAGAGGAGAGAGGAATGGCGTCTCCCTGGGACAGCTCACATGCAAGGGAAGAAGAGGGTGGACCAGAATGAACGAAGAGGGAAAGACAGTGGAGATCCTGATTGAGGGTAACCTGACTGACTGAGGGTAACCTGACTGACTGAGGGTAACCTGACTGAGGGTATCCTGACTGACTGAGGGTAACCTGACTGAGGGTATCCTGGCTGACTGAGGGTAACCTGACTGACTGAGGGTATCCTGACTGACTAAGGGTCACCTGACTGACTGAGGGTAACCTGAATGACTGAGGGTAACCTGACTGACTGAGGGTAATTTGACTGACTGAAGGTAACCTGACTGACTGAGGGTGACCTGACTGAGGGTATCCTGACTGACTGAGGGTAACCTGACTGACTGAGGGTAACCTGACTGATTGAGGGTAACCTGACTGAGGGTAACCTGACTGACTGAGGGTAATTTGACTGACTGAGGGTAATTTGACTGACTTAGGGTAACCTGACTGACTGAGGGGAATCTGACTGAGGGGAAACTGACTGACTGAGGGTAACCTGACTGACTGAGGGTAACCTGACTGACTGAGGGTAACCTGACTGACTGAGGGTAACCTGACTGAGGGTAACCTGACTGACTGAGGGTAACCTAACTGAGGGTAACCTGACTGAGGGTAACCTGACTGAGGGGAATCTAACTGAGGGGAATCTGACTGAGGGGAAACTGACTGAGGGGAACCTGACTGAGGGGAAACTGACTGAAGGAATCTGACTGGGAATCTGATTGAGGGGAACCTGACTGGGGAATCTGATTTAGGGAACATGACTGAGACGAATCTGACTGAGGAGAACCTGATTGAGGGGATGAAGGAGAATTATCAAAACAAGATTGACAGTGGGAGAAATGAAGTGACATCAGAAAATTGACAGTGAGCGTTAAAGGAAAATGAAAAATGATCATGGCAAAACCAGCAGTAATCGAGCGAAACAGGGATTGACTGAGTGTACCTTGAGGCAGCTCATACAGTAGAAAATTGATGATGTGGTGATGAGAATGGGAGGATATGCCATGCAAAGATGGCTGTTGGAACATGTCATTTGCATGATGAGAGAGGAGGAATGAGAACGGGAGCATGTCAGTTGCATGGTGAGAGAGGAAACGAACAGTGGGAAGAGCGGCAATGGGAATCCGAGAGTGGGAAGAGCGGCAATGAGATACTGACACTGGGAAGATGGTTCACGATAGGCTTTGGGCACTACTGAGAACACGAGATGGGAAAGGGAGAATGACAAGAGGACAATGACAGCAACAGCGAACCAACTTCAAACCGTTCCACTCTCCCCTCCTCCTGCTTCACTCCTCCTATCCCCCAACACCAGCTAGTACAAGGGAATGGAACCACATGTGGCCTATGCAATATAAATACATACAAGATTCTAAGAACACAATGACCAAACTAGGAAATCCTAGCTACAGCTAAGACCGTGAACTATATTGCAGCAGATCCATCGCCATGCTCAGCTTCTCCACCAGCCTCCCCACAGGCCGCCCTCCAGCTCACCACATTCCTCCACCTCTCCTGCCATCTCTCCCACAACACCCTGCAAGCAGGGTGCAAAAAGGGGTAAGTCCCGCCGTGCGCCTGCCACCAGCCCCCACCAGCCATGCTCATCCCCCCCGCACCACGCCTCACTCCACATGCCATGGGAATGACTCAGGATCTGCTGCCTCATACAACTGCTAATGCTAACAATGCTGCTGCTTCATCACCGTTCACTGCTTCCCTTGGGTGCTGCGCTGCGTGGCTTAGGAATGCCACTGGCTGCTGCTGTGCGTGGCTTGGGAATGCGAGTGGAGGCCACTGCTGCTGCTGGAGCAGCCGGTTTACGAGTGCTGTGAGGCGCAGCCTGCACTGCCTTAGCCGCTGCAGCCGTGTGCGCTGCCCTGCTCTGCCCAGGCTTAGGGATTAGAGTCGCACCACCGCCACCACGCCCTGAACCCGACCCCACACCTGCTGCTCGCCCTCCTGCTGCCTCCACCCCTCCCAACGAAGCCTTCCCTGCTGCTGCACGCACCGCTGTGTGTGCTGCCCTCCCATTGCCCTGCTCCCTCGCCTTCTCTCCTGCTGCTTTTGTTGGCACCGACCCCACTGGGCTGCTCTTAACAGCAACACTCTTAGCAGCTGCAGGCGTCACACGAGTGGCCTTGGCTGGCGCTCCTTTGGCTGCTGCAGCTGCAGGCTTGGCAGCAACGCTTCTCGCAGCAGCAGCCTTGTCTGGTGCAGCTGCAGATGCACGCGTTCCCTTGGGTGCTGAAATTGCGGCCTTAACAGGAACGCTCTTCACGGAAGCTATGTTAACAGCAGCGCTGCTGGCAGCAGCACTCTTCACAACGGCGCTGGTGACAGCAGCGATCGGCGCAGTAGCGGTGGTGGCAGCAGCGCGTGCACCCATGACGTGCGTGGGCGTGGGCGTGTTGCTGCGCGGCTGACTCACGGGCTTGGTGGGTCGCAGCGGGGAGAAGCCCAGCGACGCACAAGGGGGAGCGCGCAGTGCTCTGTTCATCCTCGTTCAACCGCCCCACGCGCACCGCAACGGCGTGCAGCCGCTGCTGCCGCCTCTTGCACATCAAAGCACTGTTGGCGCTCTTTAAGCTGCTGCTGCTGGCGCTGCGGCTGCTGATGCTACTGCTGCCGCTGATGACGCTGCTGCGGCTGGTGCTGCTGCTGGCCACGCTAGAGCTGCTGCAGCCGTTTGTTGACGTGCTGCTGGCAGTGCTGCTGTCAGTGCTGCTAGCAGGTGCAGCGCCAAGAGTGAGGGTCACAACAGGCTCACAAAAGGGAACCCCAGGGACGTAAAGCCAAGTCTGCTCCTCGACGCTGTAGTCTTCCCAGAACGCGTGCTCAATGGACGAGTCTTCACCCATCGAGAATCCCAATGGGCCAGACAGCCAGGTGCAGTCCTCCTCGGAGAAATCCTTCCAGAACTCGTGATCTAGGCCCAAGGAAGTCAGCGGCGCGTACAGCCACGTGCCATCCGCCTCGGAGAAGTCCTTCCAGAATTCGTAGTCGATTGAGGGGCTCGTGAACTGGAAAGCTGAGGCATTCCGCGCGGCCATGGTACGAACAAGAGTCTAAGCAACTAGGAAATTTCAAGAATCGAGAACTGAGAGTTGAATAGCTGTCAGAAACAAGTACGAACTCGAACGGGTGAGCAAGTAAAAGCTCGAACGGGTGTGGTGGAATGAATGAGAATGACGAGTGGCTTTGTAGTGTTGGGAATGCACGACAGCTCCAAGGCGGAAAGGTGGATGGAGCTCGGGTGGAGAGAAGGACCGGTGGTGGGTAGACGGTGGGAGGCAAGTCTGCTGCCCATAGCGAAAGTAGTTCATCCCGGGAAAGGCGTGCTCTGTGCTGTGATTGGAGTAGAAAGAACGGAGGGGTTGAGCAGCCAATGGGAAGCTGTGCGAAAGAAATGCTCCAAGCATAGCCTCGAGGTTCGGCACAGCCGGACGAGATTGTCGCGGCCCGTTCCTCATGGACCAAGTCGATTTTGGGCAGCAAGATTTCAGCGTTTCGGCTGCCCAAAATCCGAATCGCACTTCCGTCAAGCTCGCCGCTGCTTGAAAATGAATCGGTCATACGTCTGCGGAAGCACGGTACTGCTTTTCGTTGACTGAATGTAGGGCTCCTTTGAGTGTGGTCTCTGATGCAAGGCATGCTCGAGGCTGCTATGCCTTCGAATTCGTTCCGTCAGCGTCAACGAACTGCGAAAGCAAACGACCGAGGAAACTACGGAAGCGACTGAATCGGAGGCCAGCGGATCGCACTGCGGTGTGGCGCCTAATGAAAATACGATCGGACGATTCTTGGCAGCCGAGGAGATCTCAGAGCCCCTGCAAACAAGTCTCGAGGAACTAGGGTTCCTTCCAAGTCGGCAGGTTCCAGATCGGTATGAGAACGAGAAAAAAGAATGCATTTATGTGCAGATTCGTTATCAGGTATTACATTTGTTACAAGTTGATTCATTGCGCCAATAATTTTGCAAGATCCCCATTTGTGAATGTAGAACAGAAAATGACACTGTTTGGGATAACTTACCGTATGTTGTTGGGTGTTGTAAGGAAAAAATCTTTTCCTTACTTCGCGTCCCCGCTTAGCGCGTACACTACTGTAGCACCACAGTCAGCACCGTTACCACTCGCAACCATCGCATCGACAATCCTCCCGCCACCTTCACACGTCGCACCTCGACCTCACGGCTCGGCGGGTAACCCGCGCTCCGGGCCTCCGCTTCGACATTTTCCCAAACCTCAGTCCCAGGCCCGTCGCGCTGTCAGAATGTTATTGTTCTCTAGCCTGCAGTGGGGTACTCTATAGCGAGTACAACCCCTTAGGATTTCCTATATGTATCCTGCTGCTTTCTAGTGAACCCTCTCTTCTTTTGCATAAACTTCTCTTACCTAGCTAGGACTTACCTAGCTATGGCTCCTAACTCTACATACAATCTTCACACGCGCGACAACCACAGTCAATTACCGTTACCACTGTAGTTTCGCTATATATTCTTCGCTCACGCCTTCGCTCATTGTACTCTTGCTTCGATAGTGCAATTCTCGCTCGCTCACTCAATTGCACTCGTAACACTTGGTATTCAGAGCCTACGATCTCTTCTCGGACCGCACCCACACCTTCGCTTCCTCACTATCTCAATTTTTTGGGGGGGGTAGACGTCTCTCAGCGACACAGCACCGCCGCTCGTAGTGCTCTCTCGTAAGCACGCACGGCCACGACAGAGGCTCTCGCTCAGCTTGCCCGACACCCCCGCCATGGCCGAATTCACGCTCGCAACATTGACGCAGGAGCAGCTCGAACGTCTGGTGCGCCAACTTGAAGATTCGGCGCACGAAATCGCGACGCTCACGGCGGAACATGACTCTGCGCGTCAGCAATCAACGGTGAACACTCCAGCGCCACCACACGCACCGACAAATGCATCTGCACAATCAGACGAGCCGATCGTTATTTCGTCCGGCACACCAACACAACACGACAGCGTGGGACAGCACTCAGGCGCAGCCAGTGATGGCGCCGCCCAGCCGATGCCTGGCATGGGAGGAAACAGGGTCGCACCAAGCCCGCGGGAGCCTCGCGAAGCCCGTCGGCATGTGGAATTCGCGGCGACAAGTGGCGAACAGGCCATTATGGCACCAATGCCACTCAAGCCGCAACGGCCACCCTGCTTCGACCCGAGCCAGCGTGGAGGTCCGACGGTTCAATCGTGGGTCTTCACGATGAACGTCTTCTTCGACGCGAATTACGTCGAATCGGACGCAGCGAAGATTCGGTATGCCGTTTCGCTGCTGAGGGGCCCCGCCATGGACTGGTGGCGAGTCATCGTGACGTTGCCACGCGCCTACAAGCCACCGTTGCAAGAGGAAGGGCCCACGGGTCCAGCTGTCACCTAGAGTTCATTCTGCGAGACCGCCCAGTACAGCACGTGGGATGCGTGGTGCGCAGGGCTTCGGGCGCGCTTTAAGCCAATCGCGGCTTCTATTTCGGCGCGTCAGAGACTGCGTACTTGGCGGCAACTCGGGTCGGTTCAAGACTACACGAGTGGTTTTCTCGCATTATGCGAGGAAGTCGGCTACATGCACGAAGCAGAGCGGGTGGACCGTTACGTCGGAGGGCTGTGTCAAAAATCTAGCAAGGCTTAGGAGCCATAGCTAGTGAGGTAGGAAGTTGAGTTCGAGTTGGAGGAGAAATGTCGAGAGAAAAGGAGAGTTTCACTATAGGTTCAAGGGTACAAATATGAGAGAACAAGCAAGAAAGGTGCACCACCAAAGAGGAAAACGCTATAACTACAGTAACCAATCCTACAGGTAGTTACATATAGAAAATATTAAATTATATTTTCCGACACGCCCCCATAACTGGCTGTAGGAGATGAGTATGCAGTTAGCGCCCTCTGAAGGTGTACATCACGATTGCGCAGGAGGAGAAAAGTGTTTCAATAATACCACTCCTCTGGCTCCCCCACACCCTCACACCCTCCCACCCTCCCCCCCAGCGGTAGTTGCAGTAGTGGGAACGAAAGGAGGAGGCGGGCTGGCGCTGGCTAGTCTCCCACTCTATCCCCTCACCCTCTCCCTCCCCCTCCCCTTCCCCCTCCCCCACACACTGCTGCAGGAGCAGCAGAGGGGGGGAAGAGAGGAGAGGTGGAGGGACGGCTGCTGGGTGGTCTCACTCCCGCCACCCCAGTGCCACTCCCCGGGCTCCCCCACACCCTCACACCCTCCCCCCCAGTGGCAGCTGCAGCAGTGGGAACAAAAGGAGGAGGAGGGGGGGGGGGGGGGGGGGGCGACGCACGGCCTCCCCGGGCGCCAAAGTAGGCGGCAGAGGGGGCGACACCTGCCCCCCTGACGGGAAAAGGGGGGGGGGGGGGGGGGGCGGTGCACGTGCCCCCAGTGTGCCGCGGCTGGCGGCGGGGCATGGCCGGGGCGGGTCGGGGCCGCAAGTGGGCGGGGCCGTAGGTGGCATCGGGGCCGAAGTGGGCGACGGGGCCGCAAGGGTGGGCGGGGCCGCAGGTGGCGACGGGGCCGTAGGTAGGCGACGAGGCCGGGGCCGCAGGTAGGCAACAAGGGCCAGGGGCCGCAGGTAGGCGACAGGGGCCAAAGGCCGCAGGTAGGTGACGGGGCCGGGGCCGCAGGTAGGCGACGGGGCCGTAGGTAGGCGACGGGGTTGCAGGTAGGTGACGGGGCCGCAGGTAGGCGACGGGGCAGGGGCCGCAAGTAGGCGACGAGGCCGGGGCCGCAGGTAGGCGACAGAGGCCAGAGGCCGCAGGTAGGTGACGTGGCCGGGGCTGCAGGTAGGCGACGGGGCCGTAGGTAGGCGACGGGGCCGCAGGTAGGCGACGGGGCCGCAGGTAGGCGACGGGGCCGGGGTCGCAAGTAGGCGACGAGGCCGGGGCCGCAGGTAGGCGACAGGGGCCAGAGGCCGCAGGTAGGTGACGTGGCCGGGGCCGCAGGTAGGCGACGGGGCCGTAGTGCCGCAGGTAGGAGACGGGGCCAGGGCCGCAAGAAGGCGACGGGGCCGGGGCCGCAGGTAGGCGACGGGGCCGTAGGGCCGCAGGTAGGCGACGGGGCCGTAGGGTCGCAGGTAGGCGACGGGGCCGTAGGGCAAGGGGCAAGTCACGGGGCGTGCCAAACACAGATTAGCAGCGGAAGCTGTAGGGTGGGCCCACAGGTCAGGACCTTGGTCACTCTGATAACATGTCAAAAATCTAGCAAGGCTTAGGAGCCATAGCTAGTGAGGTAGGAAGTTGAGTTCGAGTTGGAGGAGAAATGTCGATAGAAAAGGAGAGTTTCACTATAGGTTCAAGGGTACAAATATGAGAGAAGAAGCAAGAAAGGTGCACCACCAAATAGGAAAACGCTATAACTACAGTAACCAATCCTACAGGCAGTTACATATAGAAAATATTAAATTATCTTTTCCGACAGGCTGAAGCCAGACATCTCGCACGAGATTATGCTGCGCGGGCTCTCGAACTTCAACGAGATTCTCGCGCTCGCCGATAAAATCGACATTTTACGCCGTCCGAGACCGGGGTCCTACTACGGACATCGTCCTCGGGGACCGATCGAGCACGCCACCGTACATGTCGTTGCTACGAATACAGCTGCCGCGTCGTTTAAGGGGCGTTGCTTTGCTTGCAATAGGCCGGGCCATCGCAAGAGTGAATGCCCAGAGGAGCTAAGGCGCCGCGGAGCAGAGCAGGGGAGGGAGTCTCCAAGGCAGGGAAACGCCAGCAGTCAGTAGGAATCAGGCCAACTACTGACGAGACTGCCTGCTCGCCCAACCTCACCGACCTTCACCGAGTCACAGTACCGATTCATGCTATCAATTGGACTCGGACGAATAAGGAGGGTACATCGACGGATTGCCCACAACTGATCCACGGGAAAATACAGGGAGCAGCAGTGAAGATTTTTATCAACGGAGGAGCAAGTCACAGTTTAGTTAATACCGCAACCGCATGAAAACTGCAACTGACATTTAGCCATTGTTTACGTGAGATAGACGCACGCTTAGTCGACGACACGCCACTAGCCATACG